GTCCCAAAATGGCTCTTCTCAAAAGCCCTCTGGAGATCCAGCCTGGTGCTGGTGTGGACTGTGGCAGGTTTGGGGTGAACACTCCATACAGCCCTTGGTGGGTGTGAAAAATCAACAGGAGGTAGAAGGACAGTAGACAGCCCTGGGGTCCAGGCTCCCACCAGTGCTGGGCCAGCTCCAGCCCTGCTGACAGCCCCCAGAACTGGCACAGATTTGCACTGTCCCCAGCTCACCTGGGACTGGGTCTCACCAGGTTTCTTCTACAGCTGGGAACCTGCCCAGGGGCTCCAGCCTGGCTGGGGGTATTTATAAAGGAGGAAACCTGCTGTGAGAGCCACTGGCAGGGGCCAGCCAGCTCCGGCTGGAGGAGCCATTGGAGGAATCATCCACCACCCGACTTCTCAAGGGCTTCAGCGTGCGCTGCCACTGTGTCAGGATGGCATTTCTGGCCCCAGTCCACTTCCCCCGTCCCACCAGGCGGTACTGGTAGGGTGAGCAGGGCCCGAAGAAGATGGCTAGGGCCAGCTGAGGGTCTGTCAGGAGCAGCTTCAGCACGTTGGGCTTCACACCAGCACATGCAGCAATTTCATCCATGTAGCTGATAAAACTCATCTTCAAGTTCTCCCTCTCGGATGGATTCCTTCAATGGGACATAAAAGATAAAAATCAAATAGCATCATCCCTGCTCAGTTTCCAGCTCCACAGAAAACAAAAGCTTTGGGCTCAGATATCAGATGAGCCCCAGTCCCTGGGGCTGAGCTTCCTCAGCCCCAAATAAACCTAAAGGCACTAAAAGAGTCTTTGTGGTGTTGTTCCCAGTAGCTCCCTGGGGCAGGAAATAGGTAGAAGCTTGGTTTGTGTCTGCAGCCTAGCTGTAGGCTCAAAACCAGTTCTAGGTTAATCATAGAATCATAGAATTTTAGGGGTTGGATTGGCCCTTAGAGATCATCTAGTCCCAGCTCCCTGCTGGCTGGGACACACTCCCATTAGACCAGGATGCTCAAGGCTTCATCCAGCCTGGCTTTGAACACATAAAGGTGCTATTGTTGTAGTGCCACAAATTCCCACACTGCATCCTTTCCTGAGGTTCACACGTGTGGATTTGGTCAATTTTTAGAAGTAGAGATGTAGACTTTCAGGGGTAAGAATGCTAAAGGGACTGGGAAAAACTGGGAGATGCAGAAAGCTTCTGATGCTGTTGGAGAGACCTCCAGGATTTTTCTGCTTGAGGCCTCATCTCGCTCACAGGAGGGAGGACATGTGCTGAACCTGCTTCAGCAAATTTGGGCCAGCCTTGAGTTTGTCTCCTTTGCACCTCAGACTCCCATATTAATGTGTAAAAGCACCATGTCTGCAGTCACTGGGGCAGGATCCTGGTCATAATCTCCGTGGCTCTGTTTTCTCCCAGATTTTCATCAGTGTCCCAAGAGCTATCTCTGCACTGCTGGCAGATCTAACCCAGCCTGCACCCTGACGTCCCCTTCTCGCTCCCAAAAGCTGCTGCAAGGCAGCACATCCATCGTCACCCATCCCACATCCTTGAGGACAAGTCTTGACTGCCTATAAAATCCCAGTGCAAAAAAGTCAGGATGTTAGCACCCACATACACAACATATGAATTTCAGCCTTGTCTAATATTCATCTCAACCTATCAAAAACTGCCACCAAACTGTCCTTCACCTCCATTGCCTGGCTCTTCTGGGGTTGCTGGATGGGGCTTGGCCCTGACCCCATCACTCTCCGCTGCCCAGATTTGGGAGGGAGAAGCCACGAGATGGCACCCTTAGTCTGGAGGAGATCAAACCTCCATCTTGACAAGCTGGGAGGAAGGTCATGGCTGGGAGGATTGGCAGAGGGAACCTGCAGGTCCTGGATCTTATCATAAACCGCTCCAGAGCAGTTTATGGTGCCTTGGTCCATCACCCATAGAGGAGCCACAATGGCATTTCCCCACATTGGTACAGATGGTGAGAGAATAAATGCATCCAACAAGAGTTGGATGTCCTAAGAGGGTCCCTCCCGTGACTGTACAGAGCTCCCCTTTCTCTGGGATTATCCTAGCACACAGCGCCCGTCACATCCCAAGCGCAAGAACATCATGTACTTTTTGACCGGTGGCTTCTTCTTCAAAACATCAGCCATCATCCTGCTGGTGGGAGGGAGCTTGTTCCAGCCTGAGAACGGAGAAACCAGAGACCTTCAGCAGCACTTTAAGCGTAAAAGTTCACCCCCTTCCCAATCCTCCCATTTACTGAGAGCACTCCTACCTGGTTGCAGCAGCATGCATGGAGCAGCAGGATGAAGTTGGCTGGCAGAGACTACAATGCTACTGATGCCCATAGCTACCACAGAGCTGAAATCAGCCCTAGACTCTGTGGACAGCAGGCCAGGCTGCCCCAAATCTCCCACTCCAGCAGATCCCCCCATCCCTGCACCCTGTCCCTTACCTGCAAAGACCCCTGACACCCAGCGAGCCTGCATTTCTGATCCCACCATCACTGAGCCAGTCAGCTGGACTAAGCCAATGATGGCCAGTGTTGGCTTTTCCAGCTGGGGAGGGAAGATGCATTTATAGAGGGAACGGTTATCATCGATGAGGCTGCGAACTGACTCTTCGAGGAAGGGAAATGAAAAGATGTAGCCTGTGGCAAAAAGCACCACATCAATGTTTTCTTCCATTGTCCCATCTTCAAAAATAGCAGAGCTTTCGGTGAACTCCTTCACACTTGGCTTCAACACCACAGTCCCAGACAGGAGGCAGAATGGCAGCTCTTCATTGATAATCAGCTTAAATTTGGAGCTTGCAGGGGGAAAAGGGGGCAGCAGTGTTAGCATCTGGGAGGGACCCAAAATGACTTTTGTGGTCAGAGTTCCCCTCCAATAGTTTGCTGTTTCACAAATATCCCCCCAAATTAAAAATGGAGCATTTCATGTTAGAAAGATCCCCCAACCAACCAACAAAACAATCAGAAAATAACACCTTTTGGTAGAAGCCAAGCCATAGTTGGTGTGGTTAAACCATGAGTTGAACCTCCGAAATCTGATCCTCCTGGTGAGGGCTGATGGGAGAAGCCAGTCAAGAAAGTGGTTGAAACGGGTGGTCCCAACCATGTCACAGGGGAAACCATGGTCTGAGACTCGGCTGAGCACCCACGTGTTGCTCCTGGTGCTGAGGAACACCTGGAGGAGAAGGCAGGTCTCAGCCTCCCACCCAGACATCTCATTGTTGGGTTTGCCCTGAATGGCAAATCCCATCTCCTGCACCGAGGAGCCAACAGGGTTATGCCAAGGGGAGGAAATGGCATCCAAATGAACCAAACAGCTCATGCTTGGCTTCTACAAAGTTCCCACAGCTGCTCAACGGCCACTCTTCAGGTGACCCAAACTGTCCAGGAATTGTAGACCTTCTTCAATTGCCTTCAATTGGAAGTGGAATTTATTGGCAAACCTGGGGGAAAGACTCCTGCAGTACCCTGAGCTACTGGCCACATGGTCCCTGTCTGGGCTCAGCACCTCCACAGAGCTGTACCTTGGCAGCCACGTGGCTCAGCTCCACGGCGAGGTCACCACCAGTGTTGCCAATGCCAACCACAAGGACCCTCTTTCCCCGGAAAACATCCACATTTTTGTATTCCAGGCTGTGGAGGTACTGGCCTCTGAAGCGAGTGTCGATGCCTAGGCAGAGAGAGCAGGGAGCTTCCCTCCTATTACCAGATACATTTGCTTGCCCCAGCCTCATGCCCAGACCCTCTGCAGCCCTTGACCCTCCACCTCCCACTCCTGCTTGCAGCTGCAAACACCATGGAAGTCTTGGCTCCCCAGGTGATGCCACCCTCCTGCTCTTCCTTGACTCACTCTTACATTGCAAATCCTCATGCAAGAGCATGGCTGCATCCTTACAAGGTGTTTCTCTCATTCCCAGAAATGCCCCCACCATTCCCACAGGGTGAGGGTCTGGCCTGCCCCAGCATGGGGGATTCATGGAGCAGGCAGGCTTGCAGAGGAAAATGCAGCCAAGGGACCAATTGATGCTGGGTGAAACCCTGGGGGGCAACCCCAGCCCACCTCACTGCTGGGGCAGAGCTTACCTGGGAAAGAAGCCAATGGTAAATAGGGCTCCTGGTAGTGGCCAGTGCAAACCATGACAGCATCAAAGATGTGGGACTCACGGACACCACTGGTCTCAGTGACCACTTCCCACTGGCCTGAGGTGGTGAAATCTGGGCGCTTTCTCACACTGACAGCTGTTGTCTTGCACCAAAACCCAACAAAACAGAGTCAGGGATCATGCCTTGTTTCAGAGATGTGCCTGCAAAGGGCTGGGACTGCCAAGGGCAGGCTGTGTCCCTGGGGAGTTGCACATCACCTCTGAAGCTGTCAAATCCCACCCTGCACCTTTCCCCTGGTGATGGCATTGAGGGGGGATGCACTAGGCAGCCCATGTCTGAGCTGCCTTATTTAAAACACAAAGCCTAAGTGCTGCATTCAGGATGCAAAAGGCACGTGGTCCTCGTGGAATGACACCCAGAATTGTGCCATCCCAGCTGGGCAATGCCCTGGGATCTGCAGCTACTGATGGCTCTTCTCCCCATGCTGTTTGAGGTCCCTGCTCACCTTGAAGCGTATGTACCGCAGGAGGTCAAAGTGCTGGGCGTACATCCGAAAATACTCCAGGAGGAGGCTGTGGGGTAGGTAGTTGGGAAAATCCTCCGGGCAGGGGAAGTCACTGAAGCAGGACATCTCCTTAGAGGTGTTGGTAATGACTGAGCGGTACACGCTGACCCTCCTATCATCCATGAAGTCCTGTGTGAAGCCAGTGGTGCTGTTTGAAGATGT